TATATATATTTCCTTAAAATTTTCTCTAAAAGACTCCAAAACTGGGAGTTTTAGGTTGTAAATAGCTCTTATGGCCTTCTTCTGCAAAACAAAAATAGTTTCTAAATCGGCCGCATTTACCCATAGCAAACTCGCATAAGACGTTATGCTATGGAAATAACTGAAATAAACTAATCTAGCTGTCTAGACACCAGTAAGTCCCCTAATCTTTTTTGCAGAATAAGCTGCAGAGCTTAGTCTGCTTGTAGGTATAGATATATGGGGGCCCCACTGAAGCTATGCATCGAAAGTGAAGGAAAATCAGATTTAACAGGGCTCAGTTCTTCCCCATTTAAAAACACGTTGGTATTCATATTTTATCATTTGGTGTTGTAAATTTAATACATTTAGTTTTATTGCCATTTAAATGTTCACCCCATTCATGTTTAATTTAATGTGCATTTAATTCCATTGTATTATGTCCGTTTCACAGTTTATATTGTTTTGCTGGTATACTTTTTAAAACAATATGCTTTTATGTCTTATGTGTATGTAAATCATGTTTTTCATCATTATAGCCCATCAGAAGTCTACTCCTGAACATAGGATCCTGAGATACCTGCGTTCTTTGACTTAACGCATCTCTTCATCACTCTATCTAGTGAGAGGCTGCTTAAAGTTATCTTACATAGACAAGGCTCTTACTTGAGAACCTTTCTTTCTCAATATAAATGTATATTTTATATACTCGCTCTCAATCAGGTCAGTGTTATTTGAAAAGTCTTCAAGTGAATTAATTAAACATATTTGACTCAGCCAGTGTACATATCGATTGGCCTTTACATATATGAGTTGATGTGATTTAAAGTAGGTTATAGCTATCATCTTACATAAGATACACTTTGGGAGGTGAAAATATTATTGGCAATGAATAAATTTACACAAAATATTAATTTAAAAGAACTTAATTAACATTTGTATTTAAAAAAATAGGAAAGGAAACAATTAATAAAGAAAAATAAAAGTAACAAAGCATCATCATCATCATCACTCCATCAAGTGTGAGGTCACCCAACACTTCACCTACCGGTACGAGATTGCCACTCCAGAACCTTTTATCCCCCATCAGTTGTCGATTCTTTAAACTATATGGCCATCCCATTGCCACTTCAGCTTACTAATCCATTGGGCTGTCGGTTACTCTTGTTCTTCTGCAGATATCATCATTAAGTTTATCATGCAGAGAAACCGCTAGCATAGCCCTCTCCATTACTGGCTGAGCGACTGAGCATTCTCATATGGCGAAGATGTGTCATAATTTCTCAATGCTGCCCAGCCGAGTTGAATCCATCAATTGACCTCTCAGCCAAAGTTAGACTTACCTGGTCGGACTATATTCCCAGGCAAACATACTCGTCAAGCTTAGTGCTCCCAACAACTACTGGCATCATGGACATTACGGATTATCTTTGTTTTGTCCATGTTCATCTTAAGACTTATCCATTGGGAATCACTATTGAAGTTATTGAGCAAAGAACTTAGGTCCTCCAGCAATTCTGCCATAAGGACTATATCATCGGAAAATCGAAGGTGAGTGATGTACCCACCATTGATGTTAATACCATATCATTTCCAGTCCAGTAGCATGAAAATGTCTTCCAATGCAGAGATGACGAGTTTCGGGGATATAATGTCACCCTGTCTTACACCTCTCTGCAGTTGGATAGGTTTCGTATTCTGATTCTGTACTCGGATAGGCATCGTAGTCTTACTGTACAAACACTTCAGTGCTTCGATATACCGACAGTCAACTTGGCACCACTAAAGGGACATACTACAACCAATAATATGTTACTTTCAGCTCCCAATATGTAAAAATCATTGTTATCTGCAATCATTTAGATTTCAGGGTCACAATCATGTGACAACGGAATTATAAAAACGCCTAAAACGTAATTAAGGACTTATTAGTCGTATACTGTGTTATTTATCAGTAAGCAACAGAACTTTTCTAAAAAAACTTCGGTGTACTACGTATACTTGATGATTTAAAATATAAACGGAAAATTGGCACCTGAAATATGGAAGAAAAGTATAGGTAAAATATGCGACAAAAATACTTACGCTTTCTTGCCTCGGCGACCTTCTCAGCGGCGCGTTTTTCAGCGGCAAGTAATTGTTGGATTCCCTGTGTCTGGCTCGCCATTTCTGAAGATTTACACAAAAACTATGTCGAGTATGAACCGAGACCAAGGCACAAATCAATAGCTGACTATAGCGCAAAGAGAAATAGTCATATGATTAACTTAGTTCCACCATGTTGTCACAATTGGCGCTGTCATCAGCTCGTGCTTCATACGATATGCGTAAAACGGATTTATTGAAATTTAATCTAATTGATTATTGTTATAATCAATCGCAATAAAAAATATTTATATGCGATTCAATTATGTTATATAATTTTTAACTAAAATTAGAACTAGAAGATATATATTTATTAAAATAATTGACCTTAAAGTTAGAAAACGTAAATAAATTCCATACCGTAACGGAATACACTTTTCAGTGTTGCTACTTTATACTGTTGTTACCTGAGTATGTTAGGAGAACGATCGCTGTAGAAAATAGTGTCCGAGCGTAGACAGAGAAACCAATAGACATAGGGGTGCCTTGTTTAGATACAATAATCTTTATGACTTTTAAACACATTTAGATAAAAATTTTAATTGTTCTAAGAACTGAACTGAACAAGATTCACCAATCTTAAGCTCACAAAACACTTTTTTCTCACTTAAACCAACTTGTAAACTCCTTAAATCGCTACGCTGTTAAAGTTGTTTAGCAAACTGTAGACTTTGCTAAACAAAAAAACCAGCACGGAGAAAGGGACAAACAATCACACCGCTCTATCTCATTTCTATGCAAGACGTATGCATAAATCTATCCTTTTCGTGTGCGAATGCGAAAGAAGGCGTCAATTTGTCTATAGGTTTCTCTGTCTACGTGTCCGAGAAATATGGAAAAAACAAAAGAGGCGCTGCGATCGCTAATTACTCTCAATAATTTTAATTATTATAAATTATTAAAATATATTTTTTTTGATTTTTTTTGGGCGTATCTATATAGTTTTCTCATCTGGTTGGGTTCTATAAATATATAATTATAAATGAAAATGAAAAGATAAATATACATAAATATCAATAAAATTAAATAAATATAAAAACACATAAATAAATAAAAGCCCAACCAGATGGAGGCGCTCGGCAGGGGAGACCAAACGGCCGAGGGCTTGGGTTATTGGGAAAGGGAAAGAAACCGGCGGACGATGCGGGCGGTATCGAGGAGCTCCGCCTTCTGCATTTGAGCCTGGAGCGGTCCGCCACGTAGTCCCAGCCGCCTCAGATGACCCGAGAGGCTGACTGGGATTAGCCCGTTTGCAGAGACGACTACAGGAATAATTTCGGTCGGCAGACCACCCCACATGTCGGTCACCTCGTGAGCCAGGTCCAGATATTTTGTTCGTTTATCAGTTTCGGCTTTCACGAGGTTCTCGTCATACGGAATGGTAATGTCAACCAAAAATATCCTTGACTGTGCCCGATCCATCAGCACAATATCAGACTTATTCGCAAGAATAGTTCTGTCTGTGATAATGGCCCAGCATGGCTTCCGGCAAGTACTTGTAATACGGCAATTTCCGATCAACGAGACTGTATTTCAGAGCAAGCTCCTGGTGAAGAATTCTGGCTACTAGGTTGTGTCTGTGCAAGTACTCAGAGTTAGAAAGCGCCGAACAACCGGAAGTGACATGCCTAAGTGACTCACCGGGATGGCGACAAGCTCGACAGATGTATGCTAAGAGCCAGCGGTCAGCTGCCGTAGAGTCTACATTACCTGAAGATGCCTCGTGTAGAGGCGAAACACGTGTCGTATTATCGTCGATGGTGTGTCTTACCTGGAATAGTGGTGTTGGGAGTAGTGGTGCAGGGACTAGTGGTGACGGAGTTAGTGCATGCAATTGAGGGAGGTCGGGAGGTGCTCTTCAATCCAGGTAAGACACATCATTATATTTATTTAGCGGAAGGTTGCGAAGAAATTTATATTTTTATATTTTATTATAATGGATTTCCGCAAAGTAACGCCTGATTCTATCAATTATCTGACAAAGGATCGTACTCCTCTGCCCCATACACTGCTCGAGGAAGTCTCTAACTGTACAGTCTATCTTGTACAGCTCGAGGACTCTCTTTAGCCATGTATGGGGCACCGAGTCGAATGCCTTTCTGTAGTCTATCCAGGCGGCGGAGAAGTTCCGACGGTTGCGTTTCACCACTTTGCCAATGACCGCGTCAATGAGGAGTGGTTCCTTGGTTCTACGACCACCGCCCCGACATCCATTTTGAGCGCGCGACATCACCTGATTTGAGTCCAGGTAACGAGTGATTCTCGCGCTCAAAATAGATGTTAGTGTCTTGTATATGGTCGGTAGACACGTGATGGGGCGGTATTTGCTCGGGTCTGTGGTATCCTGGTCTTTAGGAACCAAATTAGTGATCCCAGTAGTGAAGAGGCTAGGGAGCGACTTCTGGTTGAGAGCCTCTTGAAACTGTTGGGCGAGCACAGCGTGACACACCACAAACCCCTTCAGCCAGTAGTGATGCAGCCCGTCGAGTCCCGGACTTTTCCAGTTCGGACCCTACGGACCGCCTCAGCTACCTTATCCGGTGTTATAATGACGGGGTCCATGGGCGTTATACTCGCACACTGACTCGCCACAACTTCCGTCCAAGGGCCCTCGCTGTGGTTTACGGGCTTGACCACAGGCCGCGCCAGAATGCTACAGTGTCGGCCTGATTCGGTGCTGGGCCCGTTCCACTTACTACTAATGATTCATAGAGCCTCTTCTGATCACTCACCACGTTCACTACTAATGATTCATAGAGCCTCTTCTGATCACTCTGGAAGAGACGATTCTTGTTGAACCGTGTCGACCTCTCGGTATATCGCCAAATCCGCTTTCCTCAAGCAGCGATTCTCTGCTTCAGATCATCTATGCGCTCCGTCAGTTTTTGCGTTATATCCGGCTGGGACAAACTGACTTTTGTCCCAGCAAACGCCATCCTGACGGTGCGCACAATTCTTGGCCTGTTATTGCCTGATCTGAACCATATCAGTCTGCAGATGAGAGCTCTAGCCTTTGCGATACGTTCCTCAATTCTTCTTCTCCATGCTGGGATAGCGTTACTTTGGTCAGTAGCGCGTCCAGCCGTGGAAACGTTGGCGCATATGATACGGCAGACTGCCGCCGCGGCGCCAAAAAGAATTGAGTCCGTCTCGCAAAGGTCCCGGCTGGCTTCCAAATCTGTCACCAGCATTGGGTTCAGAGCCCTCACGATAGCCTGATTCCGCTTGCTTAGGGCTATGCGGGGAAGTCGCGGTCGATTTTCGAGAGACGTAATGCGCGTTTCCACAATCGTCTCTTCCAATGTACTCCTCATATGCTCTAATTCCAGTTCCTGGGCGACTGTTCCATCATCGTTTGAATCAACCACAACTGGGGTATTCACGGCGGCATCCACGTTTGCGGGTTGCTCTACAATTTGTGGCGCCGCATCCTCAGCCGTAGCATTTTCATCCGATGAGGGAACAGCCTCACGTCGTAGCCGTTCGAGTTCGGCGACATCAAATATATTTGAGTTCAAGATATACCGAACTCGGTCTGCCAGGTTTGTGACGGTTAAAGATGGCTCCAGCTCAGCAAAAAGACAATGCATCCTAGCCCGATACGCAAAACATCCAGTTTCTTCCCTAAAGTGCGCCCGCAGTGCTTTTGTGTTCATTGTTTGTGACCAACGTATGCGACGTGCTCCACCAGCGGCGGGTGCCGCTTGCTGAGTCCGAGAAGACCCAGCTGACACCAAGCCTTCTGGTGGGGATGATGGATGCGGAGGGCTGCCAGGTGACTGTGCAGCTCCTCGCGCTCGGCTGGCGGCCCGCATGCTGCCGCGTCCAGCGCCAGCTCCAGACGCGCCCCGGCGACCCCCAGGCAGCGGCCCTATGCGCGTTCCTCTTTGTGCCCTTATCCATTTTATGGGCGCCAAATAACTTATTATTGTTATTATTATTTTTAATAATATTTCACCACTTTTTAATGTTTCTTTTTGTTAAAAATTATTTCGCAGACACTACTTACCAACAGCAGCGTGGCTATAAATTCTACAAATTTTCAGGGACAGGCGGGCAATGCTTTAGCACGTAGCAATTGTTCTCCTGTTCTCTAACCTCCATGGTTACTTCAATAAAAATTGAAAAAATCTGGTATCAAGTAATATCAAGATGTTGCCGTTAAAATAAGAATTAGGTACCTGTTTGGCAACGCCCAAAGTAATCTGCCCACATTATTCTGCCAGTGTCAAAAACAAAAAAAAGTATTAAGTAAAAGTATTATGAAGTTTATTTATAATGTATTTGTAATTATGTGCCATACGGATTAAAGCATATAAAACACTATTACCAGCTACAGCTGCTATTTAGTCTTGATTGGCAAGAAAAAATGTTATTCGAAAACTCAGTAAACGATTTTTGAATATTTAGCGTTCACATAGCATTATGCTCTCACTCTGAAGGTAAATATATTAAAAAGTCATGTTCTTAAATATATTTACCTTCAGAGTTAGTTACTGTTATACCAATGATAAATAATTTTATTACTTGATAATTAATTGTCAAGAAAAAATGTTATTCGAAAACTCAGTAAACGATTTTTGAATATTTAGCGTTCACATTGCATTATGCTCTCACTCTGAAGGTAAATATATTAAAAAGTCATGTTCTTAAATATATTTACCTTCAGAGTTAGTTACTGTTATACCAATGATAAATAATTTTATTATTTATTGTTGATGTAACAGTGAAACTTGATAATTTAATTAGCAAGACAGTACGTAATTCAAAACTTAGATAAGGATATTTAAATGTTTAGAATTCACACGGAATTACACTCTAACATAGTGATTCCCAAAGTGGTCTATATCGACCCCTAGGGGTCTATGACAACCTTCAAGGGGTCTACGTCAGCGAAAAAAAATTTGGGGGTCCATGAAATGAAAATGGGGTTCCACGATAGTAGATCTCAACACATACACTGATAGTACCTATTTACTTACATCGTACTATCTTATAATATCAAAACATATACATTATTTATAAAAGTACCTATGAAGTAAAAAATTTATTATATATGTTTATAAAATTGTGTAAGTTGTAGGATGTTGGTATTCGCTTTGTGGTCGCAATACATTTTGAACTTGTAAAAACCTCAGAGTCGCAGTCTCAGAGCTTCGCTACCTTGCACTGATTTGTTCAATTCGTCACTCTATAAATACGAATGTGGGACAAATACGTTTATTTGTTTCCTGAATCTTGAAAAGGAAAGTGCTAAGAAAATATTTTAAAAAATATAAACAGATAGTATATCACACAAATTATAGTGAGTCAGTGTTATTTTGTTTGAGAGTGCTGGAGAAAAGTAAGTACATTATTTTTTATTAAATTTTAGTTTTGTACTCGTAGTTAGCAAAGATAGATAAATTACGCCAATCATGACTTTAGTTATTAGTAGTTTAATATTCAATCATGCAAAATTACACGAGTACTCCTCAATAGTTTCTTTTTGAAAGTTTTAGCAATCGGTATTATAATTACAGTGCACTCTCCGTAGTTCGAGCTAATTGTTGCAAGATGTTCGAATTATGGAATGTTTTCGGAAAAATCAAAAAATATTTTTAATATACAGCTGCAGGATTTTCTGTCTTATTTAAATAATTTAATTTTGCCCATAGATGACTGATGCCATGTCCGAATCTAAAAAGAAATGTAGACAGTACAGTGTCGATTATTTGAAATTTGGCTTCATTCCATCATTGCCGGACAAACAATTGCCTATGTGCCTTTTATGCAACAAAGTTTTGGGCAATGACGCTATGAAACCATGTAAACTGCAAGATCATCTGAGAAGATGCCACCCTGATAAAACGGAGAAAGATTTGAAATACTTTCAAACACTCAAAGATAAATTTCAGAAGAGACCTACACTGGACAGAATGTTCGCTTCGACGTCACAAAGAAATGATGATGGTTTGCGGGCGTCTTATCGTCGTAAATCGTCGTAATATCTCGTTACTTATAGCAAAATCCGGAATACCGCATACTATTGGAGAGAAGTTAATTTTGCCAGCTGTTGAAGAGGTTTTAAAAACTGTTTTACGCAAACCTGCATCTGATATCATTAAAAGAATTCCCTTAAGCAACAATACTGTTGAAAGACGTATTGATGAAATGAGTTCTGATATTGAAAGCTTCTTATGTAATTATTTGCAAACGACCCATTTCTCTATACAACTGGACGAGTCAACTTTACCTGAAGGCATTATTACTGGCATATGTTCGTTTATTATGAATCAAGAAATCTACGAAGAACTGCTCTTCGCAAGAACTTTGATAACCGACACTAAAGGTGGATCAATATTTCATGTTTTGAAGGAAATAAGTAATCTTCATTGAAAAAGCAATTCCTTTATCAAATATAATATCAGTAGCTACAGATGGGGCACCTGCCATGGTTGGACGTTATCGTGGATTTATAAGCTATTTAAAACAAAATATGTCAGGGGTGTTAGCAATACATTGCGTCATCCATCGACAACATTTAGTTGCTAAAAATTTGAGTGTTAGATTGCATGAATCACTTCATTTAGTCATTGATGCAGTAAACCGAATCCGAAGCAACGCGTTGAATACGCGGTTATTTGCGCAGTTGTGTGAAGAAAATGATGAACACTTTCATCAATTACTCCTTCACACTGAAGTTCAAGGGAGGTAAATATTTTTACAAGTTTTTAAATAAATTTATTTATTCTGAAAGGCAATATTTTGCCTTAAATTTACTATAATATTTGTCTAATGTCTGAAATGTATTTATCTTAACTTTATGCTTATTAATGCAATTTTATTGTTTAATACATGTCTTTTAAGATTATTTTTGACGCCAGGCAAATTGTACAGAACCTTAAAAACGGCAATTACAGCGGAGCTTCTGAAAGCGGATGGAAAACCGGTACTTGAAGTCCTTCAGTAGCTCCTTAATTCCATCCTTCATGGAGGCACTACTCCCGAGGCGTGGAGCAGAAGTGCGGTGGTCTTGTTCTTCAAGAAAGGTGAAAACGCTCTCTTGAAGAACTACAGACCGATATCTCTTCTGAGCCGCGTCTACGTGCTGTTTTCGAGAGTCATTACGAATCTTCTCCCACGCAGACTCGACGCCTTCCAGCCTCCCGAACAAGCCAGTTTCCGAAAAGGCTTTAGTACCATAGACCACATATACCCTTAGGCAAATTGTACAGAAGTCCGAAGAGTACAATTTTCCACTTTGCTTGGCGTATTTGGACTATGAGAAAGCCTTTGATTCCGTCAAATTTGGGCGGTGCCATGTTGACTGTCGGTATATCGAAGTGCTGAAATGTTTGTACAGTAGGGCTACGATGGCTATCCGAGTAGAAAACCAGCGTACGAAACCTATCCAACTACAGAGAGATGTAAGACAGGGTGACGTTATATCCACGAAACTCTTCAACGCTGCATTGGAAGACGTTTTCAAGCTACTGGACTGGAAAGAATACGGTATTAACATCAATGGCAAGTACATCACTCACCTTCGATTTGCCGACGATATAGTCCTTATGGCAGAATCGCTGGAGGACTTAAGCACTATGCTTAATGACTTCAATAGTGCTTCCCAACGGATAGGTCTTAAGATGAACATGGACAAAATAAAGATCATGTCTAATGTCCATGTCATACCTATCCCCGTAGTGGTTGGGACTTGGGAGCACTAAGTTCGAAGTTGTTGACGAGTGCATTTACCTGGGACAAATAGTCCGACTAGATAAGTCCAACTTCGACCGAGATGTCAATCGACGGATTCAACTCGGCTGGGCAGCGTTCGGGAAATTACGACACATCTTCTCGTCACGTATACCTCAAAACCTGAATACTAAATTGTACAACCAGTGCGTGTTGCCCTGATGACCTACGGAGCCGTGATGTGGTCCTTCACTGCTGGCCGTATGAGGACTCTTAAAGTCGCTCAGCAAGCTATGGAGAGAGCTATGCTCGGGGTTTCTCTGCCTGATAAACTTAGAAATGAGGATATCCGCAGTAGAACCAGAGTGACCGACATAGCCCAACGGATTAGTAAGCTGAAGTGGCAATGGTCCGGCCATATAGCTCGAAGAACCGACAACCGTTGGGGTAAAAAAGGTTCTCGAGTGACAGCCTCGTACCGGTAGGCGAAGTGTAGGGCAACCCCACTAGATGGAGTGAGGACCTGGTAAGACATGCAGGAAGTCGATGGATGCAGGTGACTTAGGACCGTGCTTTGTGGCATACCTTGGGGCAGGCCTATGTTCAGCAGTGGACTTGTGAAGGGCTGTAATGATGATGATGATACCTTCTTATTTTTTATATTAAGAGAGGCGTCATTAGGTCATCATTAGCGTTCGTTTTAAAATTTCGCGGTCTGCGAGCAGAGATTGATCTCATTACCACCAATTTAAATGATGATTAACCATGTAGTGCTGAAACAAATCATCGTGAGAAAATCTGCGTGTCTCAGATATAAATTGTAATAACACCTACATATTATTTTCTACTTTCAGAAATTAAAGGAGACCTGTGTTGCTTTGATTTTTTTACTATTTTAAGGAATACATATTGAGTATTAATTAATAGCTGTATACCACTCACATTGCCGCTGCAATGTTTGGGCAACCCATAAACTTAGAATTAGAATATACTCGCGCATAGTATATTCTAATGGTGGTCACACACGGTCAGTTTAACTGATCATTCCAACTGATCAGTTCAAACTAAAACTGTTGATATTTTTTAAAATATCGGATTTTCGATATATCCATAAATAAACTTATGTTATATTATGATTACAGTTTTACACAGTTTTACACTCCGATATTAATATATTTATAATGATCGATATATCGAAAATCCACTATTTAAAAAAAATATCAACAGTTTTAGTTTGAACTGATCAACAAGACTATTATTATTATTATTATCATACTCGAGTCGTTTTACATTAGTATCATGGATCCAAGCACTCCTTTTCACTTTTTTTTAGGAGGACAACAGAAAACAGCTGCCGCTAACTTTATAGATTCATCCTCGCTGTTGCTGCTTGTCATATTTCTCGAATGACAAACCTTTATGGAATGACCGAAGCGAGGCGTCCGAAGACGCCGTCTCGACTACCGTGCACACCGCTAACCGCTAAGCCGCGTCTGTCAGCCGCGGCTGACGGACGCGTCCGATAATTTGTTCTCAGCTTTATACCTGTCTATATAATCAAAGCTTTTTATTATGTGTCCGGAATTAAAGGTCATGAATAATTGTGTCTCTTTCTAATATGAGCTTTGTTATGAAATAGAAACATCCAATTGTTATGCCGGCTGTACACGCTCGTCGAGACACCACGAGACAGGCCTAGAGGTGCGATATTGTTTCCGCTCAGCCTGTAAGTATACCCAGTTTCGTGGACAAAAATGTAACGATTATTTTACGTACGCAGTTGACACACACAACGACTGGCGCTCGCGTAAGCGTTTCGCTTTGAACAGATGATTATAGGTACGTAACACGATATACGATTCGCACAACGAGAGTAAAAATAGTCCCTTCGGGATAGGTATATTCTTAAAAACTTTTTGCCTTTTTTTAAATATTATAACATGTATAGTTTTCTTTGTGAATAAACATTTAAAGTGTAAATAAATATTTAGTGTACATAAATAGACATATAACTAGTGTAAATAAATAATTAATATTTTTTTGTATTAAGTTAATTTTTATGTATTATATGGATCAGTGTAGACGGTGTCCGGCCTGTCCGGCTTTTGTTAGGCTTTCCATATTTGACCATTTTTTAAAATTTTTCATGTACTTAATTACATACTATTGCAATTATTGAAATTAATATTGTAATGAATATTGAATGATAATAAAGAACACTGATTCATTCAATTTTAATTTAAGATTTAATGGTAAATGATATAAGCATTGTATGACTTTAAAAAATATATTATCGTGTTATACTAAGACTGAATAATTAAGGGTGTCCAGCCTTTTTCAGTGTCAGTTTGTCAGCCACTCGGCCTGTCTAGGCATGGGTCGTAACGTCTTTTGGACGTAATCGGTTGTACGTAGTTTCGTGGATATGAGTAACTAGCTTCAAAACTGCTTATTTTTGTAATTAGTTACATCTATATACAGTATAGCGTAGGTTAGTTTTGCGTTTGTGTTATGTTATAATTACGAAAATATTAACAGGTTATAGGTATTATAATATTAGTTTAACTGTGTTATGTTATGATTACGAATATATAACAGTTTATAGGTATTATAATATGCGCGCGACATTGTCAATATTAGTACCTTAGTACATTTTTATACAGTCACAAAATATGTAAGTACCTAAGTATTATTGTCCATCACATCGCATAATTTTTATAATCCACGTAATACACAAAAATTGTCTTTATACAAAAGAAATATTAATTATTTATTTACACATTTTATGTCTATTTATGTACACTAAATATTTATTTACACTTTAAATATTTATTCACAAAGAAAATTATACATGTTATAATATTTAAAAAAAAAGCAAAACGTTTTTAAGAACAATGTTCAATAACGCTCACCTCTAGGCCTGTCTCGTGGTGTCTCGACGAGCGTGTACGAGCCGGCATTACCTAGCGACGACTTTTCACGTCACTATTATTTCTTGTACTATTATTTATTTTGTACTATTGTTAAACGTTACACGTTTTACACTGCTTCGTTGTAGTAAACATAAGTTTAGATGCGTTATTACTGCAGAGCATTGGCTATTATACAGATACAAATTGTTTCTTATGGTTCAATTAAAAAACGCCACAGAACAGAAGTGAGTCGTCGCTGCTCGCTGCGTCACGTACGTCATTATTCTTTATCATTTCGGAGGCAAACTTAACGTAGTATGGCCGTCGTATGGAAGTATTCACAGTTTTACTTCCACAAAGAATACGCGATAAACATTTCCCAAAGCGAATTACGAAAGACATTTTTAAATAAATTTTTTACGCGTGTGAGATAAACATTGAAAGAAAAGTGTAAACTCTAAGTTTATTAGGAATATAATTACGTCCCGACCTAAATATTTATCATTTCTTTTCGGAATTTTAATTTTGTGTTACAAAATGTGGTTAGTCAGTCAGCCGAATTCTGTGATTTTGGAAGTCAAAGTGGACCCCAATGCAATTGGACAGGACTGTCTTGAAAAAGTAAGTTGTAACATTATTTTTAGCTAACATAATGAAACCTTATTTTACTTTAACTTAACTCTTTGTTTACAGTAACTGTTTTGCAAAACCTAACTGTCCTCACACATAAATTGACTTAGTTTTACAGTGTTTAGTTATCATTTTATAAGCTTACGTATAGTTTTTGATAAACTTTACGCAATAAAAAAGTTTGTTTCATACTTCTCATAATAGTTTCGAGCGGTTGCTAATTGCAGTGAAACTAACTATCGTCAAAAATCAAGACACGTTCACGCTCCAATCGACTTACCTCGTGGACTTTGGACCTTATATTGTTCATTACTTATATCACCTTAATTTATGCCTATTTTACTCGATTAAAGTTTCAACATTTTACTTTACAAATATACAATTTTATATGGAAGTCTACTTATACATAGACTATGGAGGAAAACGGATAACATTAATAAGGCAGTTGGTTTAGATTATCACATTCTTTTTAATGAAGGAGACTCATCAACTTATCATCATGATTGAGGTAGAGCGTGGCTCTATCTCAGATGTAGTGTATTATGGATGCAGCATGAATGGGTCCGGCTTGGCTGGGGAAGGACCAAGTTTCGCACGGAATACCTACAAATTCCTAGCGATATCCTATCTACTAGATCAGTAGTACTGGTAACGAGAAATTTCATCTTTGTCTTCATGGCTGAGATTTGATTTCTGATTTTCAACCGAGGTGTCTGTTAAGCAATATCCACCACAAACTCAAGTGCCTACTCTAACTTTGGCGCTACGCTATACGCCAATAAATTTATCGTTCTTCAATAACTACATATTATTTACATTACTTATTAAGTGTTTCGGTGTTAAAATTCATTCGACTATTTTGGCTTGATTCCAGTCGTATTTCGAATTCAGGACAATTTGACGCTTCGTAATTTGGGTGCATATTTTTTAAATAAGTACATTCCGATCTAGTTGTAGTAAATATAAATATACCGAAATTAATGAGATCGGGTAGAGTGGCCCCGACAAGTCGACACTCGACAGTAACGCCCAACCTCTTTCGTTTCGCGTTCAAGGTGTGCAAAAAGATGCGCTATATTTTTGTGCGACCCTTTTTTATACGCCTAATATGGGAGACATACACAAACACTATCCATCTGATGGTAAGTGAATGCTGTATCCCATAGACATCTACAACTGTTCTATTCTCGATTAAGAATCAAAATGCAGAAGCGTTGTCACCCTTGGTGACTAAGATTAAATGCCTTAGATTAAAAAGATAAAATCTCCGGTTCTATATACTCACCATACGAAACATAGCAGTATTAAGCTGCTATTTTATTCTGGTAGGTATTCTGTGAGAGCATGGTCCTTCCCCGGTCGAGCCAATCCATTCGTGTTGCAACCATAATATAGCTCCAACATGTTCATACAGAGCATTTAAATATCTGTTTATATTTTTAACTTTGAATAATTACGAAATTTTAAACCTAAGCTTTTTACTAACGACTGGTTGAAACAGCACTGTGTAGGTAACTAATTTTTATTGTTATCGTGTAGACGCAAATAAATATTATATAAATTATAAACATATCATTGCTATTTGAAGACATTATGTTTAAACTACTCATGTCCTAAAATTGATTTTGTCGATTTAATTCCGCCTGATCTAAGACTGTTTACTTTGTCTGTTACAAATTACCTTTATAATTGTATTATTTAATTAATATGGGGTAAGATACTTGTAGATAGGATGGAAAGGCTCACGTTGTCTTTACTCTCGTAATGATAATATTTAAACTCTAGTAAAAGAATTACTGTTCATAAGGAAAATTAACGATTCAAATTAAGATACCTAGGTACCTATGTAATGCAAAGAAATTAAGGCAAGGTCAGTCCTATTTCTCACAACATTTTCTTCGTTTCTAGATAATCCATAGTGACGGTGGATGAATATCCACTAACCCATATGTCGTTTAACTCTATTAAAATCATTAAATTCGCAAAAAAAATTGTGGGCGGGCAGTATGGGCAAAAAAACTATCCTATCTCTGAAGTTGGACTAAAATGCACACGGTGTGCAAATTTGATTAAAATCGGTTGAGTACCTAGTTTAGGAGTCCATCGCGGACAAACAACGTGACACGTAATTTAATATATATATATATATATATATATATATATATATATATATAGCCCTTTGCCTATGTTCAGCAGTGAACTTTAATAGGATGTAATGTTAACTGCTTAAAACATGGCCCTTAAACATCGAATTATATTACTATATACGTAGTAATACCTCAATGCCCTTAAATTATTAAAACGCTAGGTTTAATATTATCTTTTAATAATGTGATAATACGATCTGCTTCCGATTAACTCACTGTCACTCGTATTAAACATTAATATATTTATCGCAAAGCAATCAAGCTTTGAATCAATTTCTCATAGTCAACCTTGCGTCTAGTTCAGTGTATATAATACGAACCGCGCTAAATCAAGGCACGTTATTCACCGGTGATTGTAACTCGGGTCCAAAGTCCGAGCCAGCAGCTGTGAGCTCTCTACGTTCGCCATGCGCCTGCCACGTGCGGGTTGCGTGATCGAGAGGAATGGACGCGTCGGCGTCGCTTCGAATTTGGGACATAGGTAGCGTTGTCATTTATGTTTCCTTAGTTTTTTTTTAAACCAATGTCAAAGATAATGTACCTAATCCTAAAGTGTGAAATAGAAACGGAAAGTTTTTATTCAATTTAGGTTATAAATAATGCATAATATAGAAAGTTACTCATAAGTATACTTTACCCACTGGTTCGGGAAATACCTGTGTTCTAGGAAGAACCAGCAAGAAACCCAGCGAGACTTTTTAAAGGAAACAGTTTACTATCATAAAAGTTACCCAATAATAAACAAGATGAAATAAATTAGAAATAGCATGGTAGCGATCACCCCAATCCCGGGGACATCTTTTTTTATACAATCTTATTTTAAAATTGGTGCATGTCAGATTATGTATATTGTCTGGGATTTTGTTGTAAAATCGTATTACATCGCCTCAAAAATGAATTACTGACAACTGTGGGAAAATTTTTCTTTCATACATGGGTCTTTTTAGTTTCTTTAGATCGAAGTAGTCTTTTGTTTCCTTAGTTCTTTTTTAAACCAATGTCAAAGATAATACAATTCTCCAAGTGTATAATTGCCTTTCCAAGTATGATATGCTGGGCTTTTAGAATCAACACAAGATGTTTGCGAAATAAAGTTATCAAGTTCGAATGTTGTTAATTTTTTTTCTTTAACAACATTGAACGATTTAAGCAAGTTATTTGGAAGGTAACCAAGCATACAAAGTAAAAACATAGTCTCACATGAATCAGCCTTGATTGATCTAATGTAATATATATTGTTATATATAAAATATATGTTTGTTGTTCGTATTATATGCGATGCCACACAGTTCATCAGATTGCGGTAAAACTTGTCAACTTATTGCTTGAAGTTGCACGAAGGTTATAGGCATAGTTAACGCTGTCTTTATACTTGCAGTAGGTGGCGCGCGAGTTGTTGTAACAATTTTATTTGTAAGTTATATCACTCAGTTTCATTGAATGTATTGTTGTTCCTAATTAAACAATATACTCTTTCAAATTTAAAACGATTTTTTCACAATTATTTATTCTGCGGCCACAGCAACTCACCGGGTACCCGCTACCAGCTAGTAATATAATATACAATGGAATCTCTATAACTCGAACCTCGTTAAATCGACATCCTCAGTAAGTCGAAAAAAAATTCCATTCCCTTCCGCTGAACATCTAAATACGCAGTATCTCGAATTATTTTATACTTTGTAACTCGAACAAAATGTTAAAAATGTAAATGTGCTAATCTCTTAATTTTGTAAATGTGGATTGTTTGCTCCAATTTCAGAGATAGCATAGTTTTTGTCCCGACAAATGTTCATCAACATTTTTTATCACATAAAGGGTCGGATTTATTATAAGACAAAGGGTCGTCGGAAGGGGTAGAACGTTAGCCTGACTAGCTGGTATGTTATTAAACATTCGGGTCTAATAACACAATAACGATGTCTTTATATAAGTACTTATGTCCATCCATCACAGCCTATAAAAGTCCACTGCTGAACGTAGGCGTACACCAGATTATCGACCGACACGAGCTGAGCAGTCAGAGGCGGGGGTCCGCACTCCCCCCTCGGACAGTGGTTAGATAACTCAATAACGCTTAAAAAGGCGACATGATGATTGGTAACAATACCAAACCATAAACCATTATCGTCATCATCCTCACGTTCATCGGCTTTCCCTTTTTTAATTAGCTCGCGGCCTACAAGCTCTGAGTCAGATGAAGCTCTAAGAGTCGCATATACTAACAGCGAAAACATCTAGAAAATAGAAAATAGACACCATAGATTTCCTCCTTTGCCACAACTGACACGCTTGGCGAGCCGCGCAGTCAGCGCCAGTTCCTACTCGTATTATTTCGAATTATTATCAGGAAGACGCTGCTGCCGATCTGTTCGTTTCCCTCTGTCGCCTCTCGGATGGCTTGGGCTCCACAGTTTTCATTTATAATAACATTTTTTTTGTAATATTCTTGCCTCTTATTTTTATAAGTAGATCAAACAGAACTACCTAATGACTTGTGTTACTCATTAGATAATTTTGTGTTCCAACGAACTCGTTACTGTGCATTTGAGTGTCACTATGTCCAATTAGGTTAGGAGAACGATTATTTTGTACAATTACTCATTCCCTTTCATATCGTTACTTTAAAGTTAACCAGGCCATCTTCTGTTTTAAGTTTATTATTTACTTTTTATTTGTTCAAATGAACTTGGAGAAACATATTATGTCATGCCATTTATTATTTCTTAAAATTTATTAAATAAATGATTGTTATTATCTTTTCACGTTTTGTGACTTTAATTTAATGTTGGTCATTAACCTCTGAAACATAAGAAATGCGTACCTTTGACATACAATTTATTC